GGGAGCCGCCCTGCGTTCCGTCGCAGCTCGGCCACCGCCCTCGGCGCCTTGGCCGCAGCCCGCCGAGCTTTTCGCCCGCCGCTCTCTGGCCTCATTTCTTCTCGCTTTTGCTTTTCCCCTCGCTGTGGAGTACTTGGGAGCGTGCGGTGTGAAATCCGTTTAGCACGGCTTCACCCCGCCTCCGGTACCCCCTTCGTGTGCAGCGAATGACTGGTAGCGGGTAGCTTTGTGGCCAGTAGAACGTATGCGCCGTGTTTGCTTCTTGCAAACTTAGTACAGGTCAAATTGCAGGAGTTGAGTTACGTAAGCAGCGCTGTTCCGTCGCTGCTGCCGGTTGTTCGTTACCCTGATATTAGACCCGTTGTTCGTCCTGCGGGTTTGTCTGATCATTCTGGCTCTGTGAGCTATTTGCTGAAGTGTTTACGTGGCCAAGAACCACAGAATGTGCCGCATGCCCCAAAAAGCAAAGGAAAGAAGTTTTTCTGGAAGTACTTTAATGTTCTGTGGCCGCATTGCATGATGGCGCTGGGTGCAGCCTCCGTGTTGAAGTTGTCCAGTAACCTCTGGTTCAGCCCTTCTAGAGTTGCTTTGCAGCCCTGTTACCGACGACCCGATGTAGGCCAATATCGGGCACCCTGAACTACTTGAGGACTGCTAAGAGTCAGAGGTTAACAGCCTCTCTGGTGCAGCGGGAGAGGGCAGTGTTGGTCCAGCAGGACAGAATTCTGTTAGTGTTTCCAGCTTTTCTCCTCAAGTGTAAGGAGAATATCCGAATTTACCCTGTGTAAGAGCCACTGCAACAGACAGGTTTATCTTGGGAGAAGTGAGCTTGCCTTCGATTAAGACTTGAGTTCATGGTACCAGAGTAATTTCCTCAGTGAAGAGCAGGCATCTGATGATGGGGAGAGCTGGGGAGCTTGCTGTTATCCCATATAAATACCCTAAGAGAGACTCTCACAGCAGGAGTAGCATCGGGAAAACATCTGACACCCAGCCACTGATTCTGAAGTTAACAGCTCATTCTTGAAACCTTTTGCTGTGATAAAAATGCCTCTCGATCCTTTGCTTTTGTAAATCTGTTGCTCCCTCGTGCTAGTTTAGGAAAGCTGTTTTGAAAGTAAACTAAAGTTCTAGTGCACCTGGTATTAGCTGGCTGCACTGACTGTTCTGTCTCCACAGATGTACTGTACTAAATTTTCTGTATACCAGTGAGGAATTTACAAACGTGAATGTTGTTCTCTTGTCAGAAGTGGGCCTTGTGCGTGCTGTGATTGTTCTTCAGATGTGTACCCAGAATAATCAATTACTTTTTTTTCTGAAATCTATTTTCTAGAAACAGTCATATAGCTCTTGAAGTGGTTTAAGTGCCTTATTTCTGAAGGGAACAGGGCAAGGCTGTTGCGTATCTCACTGGTGCAAACCAACCAAGGTCTTTTCATATCTTCTTACATTCCTTGAAAGTGAATAAATAGCACCAATATTTCTTGCCTGATCCTACCATAACCAAAAGAAAGGCCAGGTGGATTCAGGCTTAATTCAGATTATGAAAATACTGCAGTTAGTTAATGCACTTGTAGATGTTATCTTGAGATGTGAATTACCATGCTGATTGCCAAAGATCTGTGAATAGGAGTGTTCCTTTCACTAGGGTGCAGAGCAGAGGAAAGTGAAAGGTCATCCAAAGGTGCCTGGAGTAGGTGGATATGATGCTAAATGTGCTGGAGAGTGTGCGGTGCAAGGAGTTGTGGGTTGTATGTGGGTTTTCTGAGTAAGATGGCTGCATGAGTAAGCCTCGATTAAAATTAATGCAGTAAAATTTTAGATTGGGAGAAGATCTTATTCGATCCAGATAGTGGATGTATTGTCATTGTGGTTTTAAGGCAACAATATTTGACTGAGACCTAAAAAAGCAGCTGGACTGGTTAGGTTGCTGGCTTCTGCAGTGATCAAAATATTAATAGATTGACTTCCTGTTCTCCTTTATATGCATTTGGGTATGAAGTCCTCCAGGTTCTTGTCTTTATTTCCCATACTTTAGTTACTTTCTACTCTAGGGTTGTTTATAGCTGGCTGTATTACCTAGAGGAAAAATGTAATCGAAAGGAACAAAGTTCTTACCATTCTCAGGTTTCAGTGAACTTCTGCAAAATTAATTTGGTGGACTTTGGTAACTTCACTAGAGTAGTATATCCTCAATCATCTGAGTTTACTATACTTGGAGATTACATGGGGCATAATCTTGGTGTACATGTGAGGTCTGGTTTTGTAGTATCAGTAGTGTCTGGGGGGAAATAATGTTTGTGTCTTGTCAAATGCATTCCTAAGTTTTAGCTTTCAGTTGTAAATGAGAGGGATCGTGCCTCAACCCAGGAGATGTACATACAGGAAGGTATGGATCCAAGAGTTGTTTCTGTGAGTGAAGTTGCTCTTTTGACAATGGAAATTTTGTCCTAATCAGTGCATTTCTTTTTTTTTTTTTCTTAGGTATCTGTGAAAACCTTTCTAACTGCAGTTCGTGTATTGGTAATGACACAAATGTAGCAGGCTGCAAGTGGATCAGATGTGAAAGTAAGGAGGACTACACGGTGCAGATCTGTATTATGCCATGCAGAACCTTAAACCCAGCTAGAACTACTTCATCTATATTAATGTTCATTACACAAATGTACTGTTGTGTTTGATAACCTAATGGAGCATTAACTCATAAATTGTTATCTGTTGCTAAACGTTTCAAGTTCTTATCTGGAGACAGCTGAACATGTTCAAAATAATGCCAGATTTTTAAGGTTTCTGATTTAAATCTGTGCTGTTGGTAAGCTGATGTTTTCCAGATGGTTGAGAAAGTTTTTAGAACAAACTAGTCACTTGTGTTTGCTGTTAAGGAGTCAAGAGTGGATTCTGATATTTAGGCACATCCATGTGCTTCAGTCCCTTTTGTGGTTTTGTCATAGACCTGGTCACAACCACTATTCCTGAACTGAAGTGCAGTAAGGGAGAGGAGTCTTATCAAAGAAGATTAGTTAAGAGTACAGTTCCTGAAACTAAGAATTGTAACCTGATGAAGGGAACATAACAGTCAAGGAATCATTAGCTGGTCTCATTCAGAGATTTCGTTTTTCCCATTGTAGGAGAGTTGGATGTAAATACATTTAGATGACCTCTGGTACTCAGTCCTGGAGGAGATAAAGTTGCTTTTGACAGTGTGATACAAAGATGACATAAGTAATCCTCAGGTGGATTATTTGTACTTTTTATGTGAGGTGGAAACAGATAAGAGCTGAAATTTTGAGTCAAGGGAGAAAGGTGTGCAGGCAGAGAATAAGAAACTGATGTCTTCAACAATTTCAAGATCAAGGAACTGTTTGAAAAGCTGGAACTAAGTTTTGCTTGCATGTAGAATTTTTTAAGACAATAAGATTTTTTTGTGATGCTACCATAGAGACGCAAAATGTTTAACGTGGAAAATGCCACAAATAGTAGAAACACTGTCTAATTTTATAGGCTGTGAAGAAAAAATACCAAGCTATACTGTTACTGCAGAATGGTGCATAACCATGTGTAAGTATTGCCTAAGTGCTGAGTTAAGTGGTAGAGTAACTGTAGTGAAATAAAAATAGTGAAATAAAATACTAAAACTTTTGTAAATTCTAATTATTAATATAATACTGAAATCTTGCATATTGAAGTGGCTTTAATGTTATCTTGCCTAGAAGATGGTGTTTAGTTTGTCCTATGAACAGTTTGCTAGCATTTAGGAACAGTATCTCAAAAACTTTAAAGTTCTGCTGCTGTAAATATTCTTGACGCTTCTTTTCTGACAGGAGACATGTGTGTAAATGAAACAGAAGTAGATTCGAAATATCACAACTGTACAACTGAAGAACAGTGTTCTTGTAAGTATTTAGGTATTCAGCTTTCACATTGTTTATTTAATGTGAAGCAGTTGCATTTACAACTCCTTCATCTGTTGACCTTTGTTAATATGCCTTCTACGATTTACATAAGCATGTACAAGTATGTAAATAAGCCCTTTGCTTCCAGCTTAAACCTATGATATGTGATACTAAAATACACCATTTCATTGTGCGTTCAGTTAACTGTTTATTGTTGCTGTTTCAAGAAGCCTGACATATTTTACTAGACATGTGGCTCTGGCTACTGCCTTGGTTTCTTGGATTAAAATGGGTGACGTTTCCTATTAGATATAGCATATCCTAAGGAACTTCTCAGCATCCTCAAGACAGTAAGCTTCATATTCAACAAGAAAAGTTTTACCTACGAAGTCCATTGCTTCATCTGAGATGCAGTAAATAGGAAAAACTTATGAACCTTCCAGCTTTAATTGTGAACTAGCACAGCCCTTCATGCAGTCCTTAAGTGCAAGGTCGGGATTATGGAACTACATAAGGTTTATCCTTCATGCTAGGAACATGCTCAGTTGCATATATACTTCAGTCTCTTCATTAATTTGTGCTTGCTGTGCAAAGCAGATTTGCAGGTTATTAATTTAAATTTAGATTAAATCTTGAATTTCATTTTTGTCAAAGCCCCCCAGTTTTAGTTTTATGAAAGCTGACAAGAAGTGGACTTTAAAATAGGATTTTCTGGTTTTAAGATCTAGAACAGCAAATGAAAATTCTTAATTCTCTTGTCCAGATGAGTTCAACAGTGCTGCTAAAGAGACTGGCTCATACCAACAGAGATGAAGCTTCCACACTGCTGTGGGCTATCTTGTGGTGATGGCGGCAGCCAGTCATAAATAATTCTGCTTGACTTGGGCTTCTGTGTTGTTTCTAAAATCGTAACAATCACCTCTCAATCAGGAGTGTTAAAAGTCCCATTTTTCAGTGCTTTCCGAAGAGAGCATGCTCTTACAATGCCATGTTCTATATCTAAGAGTAGAATTTCTAGTGATGTTATCAGGTGGTTGTGTTTTAGCTTCTGCGCATTCAAGGAAATTGAATTGTCACGTTTAGTAGAGGATCTTTGTTGATGTGAAAGGAACCCTATTAAAAAATAAAATTGGGCTACAGTGATGTGAATAAGCTGAAGCATTTTATTTCAGCATCAGTCTTGAAAATGCTATTTCATGAAAAGCTCTCATGAAGTGAAGTTCTTTAAAACTAGCCATTGGCAGATAACTGACTTCCAGATTCATATGTGTTGTGGCTTCAGCTGATTTCTTTAAGCATAACTCTTGGGGTGAAGTACAGTAGATGGAAGATAATAACTTATCAGCTACTACAGTGTCATGGCTCAGCACTACATTTGGGGATTGACATGGAAAAACATTAAGGTGGACCTAAACTGACTGGATGCAAGTGGGACCTGAGAGAATGTAGGTTCTGACATATTCAGCCTATCTCTGTAGAAATAGGCAGCTCTGGTTTCCCACCATGCTAAAGTATAACCACATTTAAAGGACCCCAAGCATTATAGGCTTCTGGTCATAATGGTATTTTAGCAGGAAGCTTGCTGATGTATCAGTGTATGATTAAGCAATAGTTTAGATAAGCTGTCTATGTGTGATTAACTCTGTTAATACAGTAAGTTGCAGAAGTCTTCACAGTTTGTTGTGGTTTTTTACAGCACAGGCTGAAGCTGAGAGCACCTACAACCACCAGCAGCTCTCAGAGCAGAAGGCTTTAGCTAAACTTCAAATTCTTGAGGCTGTTTTAGGCTTCCCCCTATACTGCTTCAGCTGTCAAACCACTCTGATTTCTAGTTGATAGGTCGGGTTCAATTTTAGTTGCAGTGAGGTTGGGAAACAGTACTGAATACCTGAATGCTGAATATTACACAATAGGAAACTATTGTGTAAAGCATGCACAGTTTATGCTTGTACAATAGTACTCTTCTGTTTGCTCTGTGGAATCTTGAGTTGCCACTTGAACACTGGCTTGATTGGGCTGCCTGACAAGGTTTTTCATGTATTCACTCGTACAACTTTTGCTGTTAGTGTGGTGGATTGAACATGCAACTGCTTTGTAATTTCTATTCAAAACTACAATAGAACTTACTGCTGTATGAATTCCCTAAAGCTCAGCCTGCTGCTGTTCTGTTTTGTTGTTTTTAGTTAAATACTGTAATTAATCTCTTTAACATAACTCTCTTTTTCTTTCGTAGCTCCTACAGTTGTTCCTCTTTCCAATATTACTACTACGCCACCTTCCAATATTACTACTACGCCACCTTCCAATATTACTACTACGCCACCTTCCAATACTACCACAGCTCATACTACTATAGGTAATAAAGTACCACTGAACACAGAATGGCAGTAAACTAGAAACTGGTAAATAAAATAAAGGACAAGGGCTTTTTCCACATATCACTCTAGTGTCAGTGATCGTAGACTGCTTTAGTAAACTACTAAACATCTGAGGTATGGAATACATAAATGGTCCCAAGGTTTAGAAGTGTATTTTATAAAACTAATGGAGAAAATGCTTCTTTCCAGTATAATTAAGAACTGGCTCAGTGGTAGCTGTTTGAATTAGGTTAGTCATTTCCACTAATCATGAGTTCTTATGAGGTTGATTTTTTTGTTGTTGTTGCTCAGTTCAGAAATTTTTGTGCTTACATGTGCTGCCATCTTAACAGTGACGTTCTTAAAAAAAACAAAACAAAAAACAAAACTCATCTTTAAAAGCATTTGCTGCTTAAGGAAGCTGGGAGGTAATGAGTTGGTACTTTATTAGGCTCAGAACAGCCTAATGTACAGCAGAGTGATGTTTAGCTTTCAGTACAATTACAAATGTTGGCATTTGTTCCAGGCACATAGTGGAATACTGATTAATTTTTAGTAATACTAATCTAGGGGTGGTCAGAGACCCAGTGTTCTGGCTTGATAAAGGAAGAGCTTTTATGAGACAGTCTAGCTACAGGTGAGTGCTTGTTCCAGTGATGTCATTCACAGTGTTTTGAGGACGGGGAGAAAGAGGAGGCTGTGCTATCCTGTAAGTGTTTATGTCCTGTCTAGAGGTATTACATTAAGTACTTTTTTTAGTACAATAAATACTGATTCTAAGGGCTGTTTAGTGGAAGTCCTGCAAAGGCAACTTGATGCAAATTCTCAGTTGTCATGAAGCACCTTTATTCTTGTTCAAATACCAGCATGTATATTAGTGCTTGAAAGGAAGGTGGTTTTGTCTGAATGAAGAATCACTGTCTGATCTGTGGAGAACCTTGAAATATTTGGATAACAATGGTATGCAGGTTTGGGGTGGGGGGTGGGGTGGGGGAGTGGAATCCTTATTGCAGAAACTTGGCTTAATGCCATGCCTGAACATCTGCATTATGTGGGGTGCAGTCTGAGGTCAAGCTTATCCTTGTTTAAGCAAAACAAGACAAATCATTTACTTAAGAACGTAAGTGCTTGCAGACTTTGCTCTTGAAGTTTATGGTATGTACATACTGTCTTCTCTCAAACAGCTAACATCACCAATGTAACTACACATGCTCCTCTACCTACAACCACCGTTACTTCTGCTACCACAACAACCAGTATTCCAGGTAACTGCTACTAGCATAATTAAAGCATAAAATACTTAGAAATTAGTGTTGCTTTAAAAGTGTTAAGTCAAAAGACTTACCAAGTGACAACGTTAAAAGTAGTATTGGTATATCTACTCTTGTCACTTCTAACTTTGACATGTCTAATTTTTTTAAGGGAATGTATGTATGTGGCAGGGTAATACGCTGAGAAACAGAGCTAGTTGGTGAGATATTAAAAGTCAGAAACTGTTGGTCAAATGAAATCAGCTGGCTGCTTTTAATAGTGTGGCTGGAAGTCACTTGTTAACTCATTTATCTTTGGGAGGTGGTATTTTGTTTTTCCCCATTATTATTCTGCAAGTGATGCCTATTAAAAATAAACTTGGGCTACAGTGATGTGAATAAGCTGAAGCATTTTATTTCAGCATCAGTCTTGAAAATGCTATTTCATGAAAAGCTCTCATGAAGTAAAGTTCTTTAAAACTAGCCATTGGCAGATAACTGACTTCCAGATTCATATGTGTTGTGGCTTCAGCTGATTTCTTTAAGCTAACTCTTGGGGTGAAGTACAGTAGATGGAAGATAATAACAATTTGAATTTAAGCAAAAAAAAAAACCTGGAGCAAGCGGCAGAAATTGGAAAATGTGTTTTGAATGTGAGTATATCAATAATATACTTCTATGTAAAGGTGGAAAGCTTTGGTTTTTTTAAGTATAAATAAAGCCCCACGGGGGCTTGCTCAATATCAAGGTCCAGAGCAGCTTGGCTATAAATAGCTCTAGCTGCTGACTTGTCTTTACCTGTGATTATTTTTTGTTTCCTTATTGGTGTTTGGATGTTTTCAGTAATCTTAATACATGGAAGCTAATACTAAAATCTGTAAAACTATTGTAAGCATAGCATAAACTCTAATATGTTTAACAGGTACAAATGCTACTGTGACTCCTGCACCTTCTTCACGCAAATCTACATTTGATGCTGCGAGTTTCATAGGTGGCATTGTCCTTGTTCTGGGTCTGCAGGCTGTTGTTTTCTTTCTGTACAAATTCTGCAAGTCGAAAGACCGAAACTATCACACGCTTTAGGACCGGCCACTTTATAATGGACTAGTAGCCCAACACCTGTAGTTCACTGAACCAAAATATTTTTCTGTTGCTCATGGAAGACAGCAGTTCATAATATCTTTTAAATCTCTTAAAGAAGACTTTAAAAGAATATTTTTGCAACATTATACTTGGCAAGAGGTGATATAAATCTCTTCAACAGGATTACTTGCAATATGCTGCATGGGTTCTAATGGCTGTCTTATTTTCCTTTAGTGGCTGCTGCTGTGGGACTTTTTTTTGATATGCCAAATGTAGACATTCAGAGATTCGTATTCAGTGGCAACACTGTCTTGAGTAGACAATCTCAATATGACTTATTGTGAAGGCTAATTTAATCAACATTTGATACAGTGTCCCTTCAGTTCTATCAAGATGTGAATTATTGGTGACTGACTTCAGGGAGTGAAATACTGTTTATACTAGCTTGTGGCTCTTACAGCATGCTGCTAGAAAGATGAACAAAACTGTAGAAGTAGATAATGTCTTAACAGAATAACATAACCCATAAATTTTTTTACACAAGAATAAAGGTTGCCTGATAAAATACTGCATTCCAAACAGAAATCCTGTGCCCTTTCCAATTAAAGTTGAGGGTGGAGAGGGGATGTACGGATAATCCTTCTAAAGGGGAGATGAAGATATGTGCCTTAAAAGACTAAAAATCTGTAGGCTGCAAAAATGTCCTATGTATCTCAAAGATTAAAAAAAACTATTAAGTACTAGCTTTATATAGGAGAATGGAATACATGTGACTTGAGCATTCCAGTTTAAAAACTTCCTACACTAAACTGTCCCTTATTGACCTTGTTTGAGGGTGAGGAAGCATGGTACAGTAATGTTCAGCTACAAACAGCAGCTTTAAGTTGTTTACCTTTTGTTCTGGCCTATGAAGACCAACCATGAAACTAGTAATAAAATTCAGTTCATTCCCTGTATAAAAAGGCAGCAACCTACATTTATACTTGAAATACTGGTGTTTGGGAAATCCTGCGACTTTTCTTGTTCAAATGGTTCTTAAACTTGTTGCAGTTAATTTCAGAGTGTTTTTTTCTTTTTTACTCTCCTGTATGTCTGCTTGCTGAAGGAGCAATTAAGGGTAGTTCAGAGGATCTGCTGATTTTATCCTAGTGAAGATTGCTGTACTCCTGAGGATGCTGGGGTTACACCTTTTTTTCTTTCCCCTCCCCGCTTCCTGGCATCAGGTTTGTGTCACTCAGAAGTGAACTGGTTAAGGAAATCTATTTGGCCAAATAATTTGGGAGTTTTGTGTGTTTGGTTGTTTTCGTGTTGTGGGTTTGGTTTTTTTTTCCTCCTTGGCTGGATCAGCCATGTGGTCTATCAAAGGTATGTCATCTCCAATGTAGATTGACTTGAACACCTGTAAATTAAACCCACAGGAAAGATGGAAGTAAAGACAAAATTAAGTGGTGGATGTAGCACATAATACATAGCTTTTGATGATATCCCTTGGTCATCAATTTCAGGATAATCGGTAGTACTGTCTTATTAGCTCTGACTTGACTGGAATTTGGTACCCAATACAAAACGATAGCATTCATGCAGGTAATAGTCATGGCAGTGGAACTTAAATATGAAGCAAATTAAGTGCACTTCAGTTGGAAACATAGTGCACAGCGTTGCTTTCTTGTGTTGTTCTTGTTTGAATGGCATTGTTTCTATTGGGCTGCATAGGAAACTCAAATTGCTACAAAATACAGCAGTTAGTTACTCACCAGTACTGTATCTTTGAGTTCATTAGCTTTTTGTTTTCTAAACAAAATTAAGACAATCAGCTCAGGTTTATTAAAACAGCAGAGTGAGCAGCCAATTTCCAGCAACAATATCTGTGTGGGTTAGATGGTATATCCTTGGCCTTATGAAATCACTTAAATCTGTCTTTTCCCTATCTCAGAACTACTTTATTACATTTATTTGCTCAAAAAGATATCCATGAGCTTGTATTCTGTGCTTTGAAGTGAGCAAAATACTCTTCTAAAGTGTGACAGAGTTCTCCTTCAGCTCAGCAAAGCGAACTGTATGCCTAGTACATAACTTCTTGGCCTCAAAGGGCTATCTTTTGGGAAACTTGCAGAAAAGTGCTACAGAACACTTCATAGCATGGAAGACATTGCCACAAAAAAGTTGTTGTTCTGTAAAATGTTGCTAAAATGTTTACTCATGAGCTATGCTGATCCTGATTTAGGTTGCTGATGAAGTATGCTGGTGTAAAGCAAACTGAAAATAATTTTTAAAGTGCCTTAAAGTTGCTTAGTATTTTGCCTCAAGCTTTGTTTAAAAGGGTAGAAGGGATACCTTGCCTTAGTTATTAAATTTTTCTTGGTGCCAGCAATTGCTACTTTCCAAGACTTTAGGAAACCCAGGATCTCTGACATGTACAGATGCCAATCTGAAAAACTCAAGCTTGTAATATTTCAATTTAGTCATGTTCTGGAAGGCCTGCACTATGCACCGCTTGCTCTTAGCCTTGCCAACAAGGTGTAATCCACAGTTTACAGAGTTGTGGCCTGGATTGTTTCTCTTTCAGTTGTTTGGGGGGAGGGGAGGCTGGGTTATACATCTTCACCATGTGCTTGGCTGCCTCACTATAAGAATAAAGTATTTACTCCTTTGTGAATGGCAGTATCAGATGATCTGTGCTGTGTACTAGCAAAAAAAACCCTGAAGTAACAACTTGCAGTTTTTCTTGGCCTTGTGTTTTGAAGTGGAAGGTAGCTCATAGATCTGTAGTTGTATTTGCCCCTAAATCAATTTTAGGCACTGAACTGTAGTGATGATCTTCAAGTTACCTGGCTTTTTCCTGAAGCCAATTTGTGCAAGTATCAAGCTGTTATCTTATGAATGGTCTCTGCAAGTGTTGCTGTAAAAGTTTGTATTTTGTTTTCACTGGAAGAAAACTGAAACAGTTGTAATTGCAAAACCAAATTGATAAATAAAATCTGTTGAATGGAATTTTACTTGTAAACTTTCTTTAATGTGAGTAATCCCAGAGGGGACAGTCTGCTGACTTTCTGGAGATAAGAGCTGTTTTCCATAGGAATTG